TATTCAATTAAGCAACAAACTCATTAAATGTGGACTGTCCTTTTCCCACCAGCAGAAAGCCGGTTTGGGGAGTTTTGTAATGAAAATGTGAACTTAGCTCCATAACAACGACTTTGTCCTGTTTTGCAAAACATTTTATGTTTTATAAAAAACTGGAGAACGTAAAATGTGAATTTATAATCTTGTTGTATTTATCAAAATGTTGGACTTCATAATTGGCTCTCAAGCACTAGATAGGATAAACATGTGCTGTACCTGGGTATGAAACGTAATAAAACTGCCCCATTCTGCCCAGCTGTGCGCATCAGGTCAGTTTATTTTCTAGAATAATGAAAACTGGTGAAAAATGTCAATCATAATCAGCTTTGAATTAAACTTTGATTAAATGATACATATTTAATACAATGATGAGAGACGTGCTCTAACTGATAAACAGCCTTAACCCCAATAGAGCAAACAGATAAAAAGTCAGTCTACGGTGTGATAATGCAACAAGATTTATTATGCAAAGTGATGGAAGTTGTTACTTTTACTGAATGATCAATAAGATGTGATGTTCCATATAAATATGAATGATCAACCTTATTGGTCTTTGAATATTTGATTTCATATGAACTTGGGTTCTTTGGACTGCCAGGGAAACACACACTTCATAATAATTCAGAGTCAAGAATGTAGTTTATAAAAATGAATTTAATACTATACTTATAAACTAATGACACATTGACGTTTTTCAATTTCTTTCATGAAAAAAAACAAACTGGTTTGTTGCAAAACAGGAAAGGATGTTAATTATAGCGATGAGTTCACATTTTCTTCACAAAAAACTACTAAAGATCTGGCTGTACACATAAAAACCTGCAGCGAGGGAAATTTATTTCCTCTTACATTAAATACAAGCCAATCGTTGGAGAGCCCTTCCAGCCAATCAGAGGTAGGGTTGTCACGGTATGAAAATTTAACCTCACGGTTATTGTGACCAAAATTATCACGGTTTTCGGTATTATCGCGGTATTTTTTAAACGGTGTTGCATATGTTCAGAAAGCATTGATAGTCCTGTTCTACACAAACTGAAATAGTTCTGAAAAGGTTTAACAGTGTTTATTAAACCTAAAATAACACAAAGCCTTAGCAAAAGTGCAACTTTTCACAAGTAAAGGAACAAATAGCTTATTTTTCTGGAACTTGTTACAGTAGTCAGTGCAGGTTTAAATTATACAAATCCAAACATTCAAAACATAAACAATATGTAAACAAATCAAAGAAACACCACTTGTTTTCTCATATACTTGTTTTCTTCATTATCAAAATGAAAATCTAAAACTCCAGTCCACACTTGACTTGAGCACTGTACAAGTCAACCTTAAAAAATATGTATTTAAAATAAATATCCACTTTAAACAAATTACTAAAATAACTACTACACTATGTAATCAAATCCAAATGTTCAAGTATAAATGGCATTGAATAAGTAAACAAATCAATGACAAGGAACTAATTGTATATTTCTCTTCATCATCAACAAATAAGATGCTTCATCCAGCAACAGGGTGTCCGTGACACGGTTTAAATGCTGGCAGAGGACGCTGCGGCTGCAGTCTATAGTGACTCGTTGCATTCTCCCTCAACCAAAAGTCCTCACGTCATGCATTTCAGCTAAAATGCTAATGTTATCTTACCTTGCACTGGCTGTGGAGACATGGGTGATCGTCACGCAGATGTGCCATGAGATTTGAAGTGTTGCTGCCTTTTGCAGACACTTGTTTCCTGCACGTTCTGCAAACGGGATAGCAGTCTTCTATTAACTGTCGCTCAGCATTTTTCAGAAATCCCAAATATGCCCATACTTCCGATTTAGTCTTCTTTGAGGGCTGATGGATGTCCTGGGCGCTGCCGTCGCCTCCTTCGGCCATTATTTCAGCTTCAAAGTTTTGGTGCCGTTGCAAATTAAAAAGTGCGTGTGCGCGCCGCGGGAACTTCAGCTGAAGCGACGGTGGCTGGTAAGGGTCATCGCGCCGAAACCGCGGCCACGGTAAACCCACCGAGATAATATAGTTTTTTAAAAACTGGACGGTTATTTTTATTGTCAACTTTTTTACCGGGGTTTACCGCTATACCGGTTACCGTGACAACCCTATTCAGAGGCAAGAAAGGTGGGACATTCCTTGGACATCCTAGAATTCCAAATGACGCCTGCCACCGCTCAGGTGGTGCCTTTGCTGGTTCCTTTATTTTCCTCCACTGCATCCAGATGCCCACACTGTGCGCCAGTAAAAAGCATTTTTCTTACACGTAACTTACTTTTGTTGTTTTCTGGGGAAAATAGAAATTCAAATATGTTGCACCAATGCTATGTTTAAAAATAAACAGACACACACCGACAGTTGTTTCATCGCCCTGTACAGCCCTGCTCTGATGGGGAAAATCAGGACGTCAATAGCACCAACCATAGATATGTACCAACTAGCGAGAAAAGCTATTTTTGATCTTTTTCTACAGCGGTTTTAGTGCTTTTCGGTGCACCGCTGCGTAGAGCCCTGCACTGAAGAAGCCCTAGGCCCTCGGGTCAGCCCGGCCCGACGGCCCTCGGGCCGGGCTTCGGGCCAACGACTGTGCAATTACCTCGGACACGGGCCGGGCGCCTTTGTTTTTAATCGAATTCATAAAAAAAATTGAAACACAAATGCAGCAGTAGAGCCCTGTGCGGGACTGTTTTCTTCATCCCGCTCCTGCCCGCTCCCGCTGAATTTCTGACCATTACCGCCTGCAACTGCAACGTGTGTGTTACACTCCCGCCCGCACCCATAGCGTGCATGTCTACTCCCGCCCGCAACCGCAAAACTCGGAGAAATTATTACCTCACAATAAAAGAGATGTATTGAGTTTGCGTCCTCTCCGGTCCTGGAGAAAACATGTCACAACCCGCGGCTCTTCCATCCATCTGATGCGGCTCTCTGTGCTTGTAAAATAATGAATGGATATTTAAATAAAATGCTTTATATTTTACTGGATTAATTTTATATCTGTAAGTCAATTCTATGTAAAGATTGTCCGCGTAAACCTGAACAGGTCCAACCCGGTCTTACTCTAAGTGTTTTTCTCCCCAGAGGAAGCTACGGTGATGTTCTGCTGAGCTGTGGTGGCCTCATGGAGGGGGCCATCATCTAGCACACTGCTGCTAACCACTTAAACTTTCTCCCTCTCCTGATAATAACTTTTTGATTCCTTGACGTTGAATGTGCTACTGCTAATTTACCCGTTTAATTATAGATTCACTAGGATAAATACAATAAAGTTTATCTTTCACCAAATAGAATATTTACTAAGAAATCACAATGTAACTATAGACACACTGCTTGGTTTGTGTGTGTGTGTGTGTGTGTGTGTGTGTGTGTGTGTGTGTGTGTGTGTGTGTGTGTGTGTGTGTGTGTGTGTGTGTGTGTGTGTGTGTGTGTGTGTGTGTGTGTGTGTGTGTGTGTGTGTTCTGTCTTCTCCATCCCAGTGAGTCATGGTGGATGGCTGCTTATACTGAGCCAGGATCCTCTGGAGGTTTTTCCTCTCGACTGTCGCTGCATGCTTGCTTACCCCTTCTTTCCACCGGAGCCGTCAGCAGCCGTCAGCAGCGCGAGTCGGCCGCGTCTCAGGAGCAGCATGTCGCGGCCCTTACGCGCCGGTTCTATTTTCTACGCGCTACGCCTCTGAAACGGGTCAAGTTCGACATTTTTGGGGAAGGAAAGACAGGAAATCGGATGCGGAAACTGAGCGAAGCTTCCCAAGATTGTCAGAATAAAGAAACATACTGCCTTCCAGTTGTTTTACTTTAAAAAAGTAACTAACTGTGCGGCCCCGTGAGAAGTTATCACCTAGCTAGCGGTCTCCTTCGTTTTTCAGGTCCGTATTGGCGATTATAAAATGGACAGAACATAAAACACAAACCTTTTGGAGCCATGTTGTAATTTTCTCCTGCTTGTTGTTGTGTTTACTGATGAAGTCACTCGCGTGACTTCGTGCTCTGTCGGTGACAGCTGCTCCCCTGCTGCTTCGCGTCTCGTGGGAAGGGCCAAACAGCAGCTTACGCGAGCAAGACGTGCTGCTGACGGCTCCGGTGGAAAGAAGGGGTTAGTATGAGGAGTGCTGTAAAGACTCTGACACTAGTCAGTGACTCAATGCAACCTGTTGGGTTCCTTATATAGGAAACTTTTTACTGATTGGCTTAATGAACTGACCTGGATTGGAATGTTTACTGTGTGAAGGTCCTTGACACGACGCTTGTCGTGATTTGGCGCTTTATAAATAAACTTGAATTGAATCGATGCAGATACACTCAGGCTAGCCGTTAGCTCGTCAGTCCCGTAAGCTACTTCTCTGAAAAGAGGCTGTTCATGGAGACACCGGAGACAGTTTCATCCTTCTCTTTAGAAAACCCGTTTAGTTTCCAGATTATTCTCAGATGTAGACCCAGAAACCTCTCTGATCAACTCAACCCAAGTATTAGAGGACTAGTTTGAGATGTTGGTCAGTAAATTGAGCCGATCAAAACCAGCCTGTGATCTGAAGAACGGTTCGGTGCGGTTCCGTCCAGATGAAACACGAAGCTGCAACTAAAAACAGTCTTTATTTTAAAATCTGGTGATATTTTTGAGCGGATTGAAGCCGAACACCAAAACAACTCCTGAGATTTTAAACCGCTTTAGTTTGACTTGATTTGGTTTTTTAAAACGTCCCTCAGATCAAATTAAACACGTTTTAAACGGAGTTCGGCGGAACGGAGATCATCGGTTCTGTCTGCTGTGACACATTAAGCTTCTCAAATATTTAATGTCGCTCGAGTTCAGTCGGCAACAATCGTAAAAATACTCAACCGGATCCGTTAGACGTTATTTAACATAGAACCGGATCAGACCAGCGGAGCTCCTTCTGCCAGCCAACCGGCTTCTCCCGGTACCGACAGACTCGCAGTAAAACCGGACAATGAGAGCGAACCGGTCCGGAGACTCACCTGCCAGAGTACTGATGTTCTGCTGCCACTCCGCCGCCTCTCCGGGAGCCAGGAAGCCCCTGAGCACCGGGATCTCGACTCCGAGCATGGCCGAACACCAACCGGCAGCGGTTCCGAGTTCTGATCTGATCGGTCACCGAAACAAGTCACGGCTTCACTATCACACCTAAATGTTTTTATCCATCCATGTGGCCACAGTGGCATCAGTGAGCAGCCATGACACACGCGCGTTGCATTGTGGGAAAAGCTATCAAGCGCAGCTCGATATGTTCACTCTGCAGTAAACTCTCACTAGTGTTTACTACGGAGGAGTCTCAGTAGCAAACAGACGCTTCACACGCCCAGTGATGCATCATGTTTACACGTGAGCATGTAAATGTGCATAATTACTGTGTTGTAAAGCGCCTTGGGGGGTTTTAGGCAACCTGTGTTGCATAAATAAAAGTGGATCCACTCAAATGCCTTTTGTGAAACTATGCATTTTTAAATGATAGTTCATTTAGTTGGTGCTCTGAATGTTTTAGGCAAAGCAGCGATGAATGTAAATTTATTTCAATTAACTGGTTGTTTTAGTCATTAAAGGTTTTTGAAAAAGTGGCACCGCGACCAGCATCGTGGCACGCGTTAGTCGATGACACAATGCTCCTCGTCTCAATTCGGCTTTTATTTGCACACTTGTGCACTTCCTCCAAGTGCACTTCGCAGAAGATCGTAGGGCGAAGTGCAAGTGTTGGGACTGGGCTCATGGACGTAATTTTCACTTTGGAAGTGGGGGCAACACGGGGTGGGGGGTATCTTTACAGTATGCTCTAATAGGAGACAGGCTTCAACACTAACGGTTGTTTTCTGCTTGGTCCTAGAGCTCAACCAGTGTCAATTTAATATAGTGTAATATTGTCTTTGGATGGTAAAAAGTGCAGGGGTCAAAACATGACTTTGGAAAAAGTGGGGGGGACATCCCCCCCCCCCCCCCCCCCCGGCCAAATTACGTCCATAAAGTCTGGGCTAATAACATTCCTTCATTTTAAAATCGAACCAGCGGTTTTAGACATTTCTATGGTTGCAGAAATAGAATTTCATTGTTTCACAAACAAAATAATCCACATCTCCAGTGCTGGTCCTTCTAGACCTCGGTCATCCACCCTGACCTGCAGGTCCAGATCCTGGATTTGTGTTTGTCCTTCTGCCTCAGGAGGATGGACCACGAGTTCTCAGTGGAATGAAGGTCTGGTGAAGTTCCTGGACCTGGACCCAATATGTAGATGTTCTGGTCCTGATCCACTTAGCTTTGACTAAATCCTTCTGGCCTGGTGCTCCATGCTGGAGAAGATTGTTGTTGGATAGTTGGAGGAGCTCCTCTGGGCAGATGTTTAGGCACCATTCTTTAGTCATGGCCGTTTTGAGGCTGAACTGGGAGGGAGTCTATTCCCTTAGCTCAGAACCCCCACCTCCCATGGGAACACTCACCTGCTGTCCTCCAGATGATCTTTGTGCTGATTAAATATCTAACTCAGAGAATATTTGAATCTTTCTTTAAGCCATAGGTCCAAAGTTTTGTTTTAAAAAATCTATGTTTTTTGTACAGCACGCTGGGTTTTCAGTGACCAGGCTGGGTCTGGATTGCTGATCTGAGATCAGCTTGTGTTACATGCTGGAAGAATCATTCCTTCAGTCAAGCTTCATTTAAAGTCGTGCCAAAAGGATGATGGGACGTTCTTGTTATGCATCAGTTATTCTGCTTTTTCCTTTTGTTCGACATTTTAAAATAATTTTAAAAATAGAGCGGTTTTGTCTGGTTTCAGCTGGTTTGGTGGTTGGCTGTCAAAAGACATCACAGGGATTGTTGCATGCACCGACACAGAAAACACAGACACGCACACTGGTGTGGCTCTGACTTCACCACGGCAACAGGAAGCAGTCATGGAGAAGCGCAGGTTTATCAAGAGTATGGTAAAGCCTTTTAATTCGGAGCCTGTGAAAGGGGTAACATAGCATTTAAAATGTCCGTCTCAGCTTTAATCAGGTGGATCTGATCCCAGAAAATCAAAGGCAGCAAGGAGGTTCATCTCTGAATCACTCACCCATTTTAAATGATCTGCTTATTGATTGACCAATATATCCTCACCGTCTTCACGCCAACAGTCCCAAAAACACACAACACATTCAGTAAACATTCTTCTCTGAAGGTAGTTTCCCTTATATAATCTGTCATTTCCTCTGCCATAATGTATACATAAACAAGTTTAATAACATACCAATCAGTGGTTATCTCACAATTGGAAAAAGCACAAAATGTTTACAGTCTTTTACAGGTAAATAAAAGTTTGTGTGGACGTAGCGAAGTCCAGAAACTCGCGTCCTCTCGTTATCGGCTATCCTGCAATTAGATCTTTACATACAAATATGGACAAAGAGTCGGCTCGCCTTCTGCAGCCGTCAAGTCTTAAAAGAGTAGTAATCATGAGGGAGGGGCGGGGCCTGGGGTGCGGGTCTCATAGCTGGCCCTCGCTGCAGTGGCTGTCCTGGCTGCTGCCGGGCTTCTCTGCATCCGGACCCGGCAGCTCTTTGAGGATGAGGGAGGCGCTCTTCTCGGAGAACTCGTCGGCGTCGGGCTCTAGGCCGTCGGGGCAGGGCAGCTTCAGGAGCTCCTCTCTGAGCTGAGCCGTGTGTCTCTGTGGGGACAGAACCGAGCCCGTCACAAACCAACTCAACCGGACCCGGATAACTCATACCACACTAAACACATACGGGAAGTTGGAATTTATTTCTTCTGATTGGGCAGGGAAAAAAACAAATTTTATTTCTTTGTGACCTCTGACCTCTGGGAAAGCTGACAGAGGTTTTGGGCCTTGGGTGAGTGGTGGGGAAGCTTCCGTGTTAGTGTAGGGTTAAGGTGAGTCCGGCCTGAACTCACCATAGAAAAATCCCCTCTGAACCCTTCGGAGGATTCTGGGAAAACTGAGTCAGTCACCATGGTAACGGACAGTTTCTAGCAGACCTCGAAATCTGAACTTCTATAATTATGCATGACTTGGTTCTTGTTCTTACGGGATAAACTCCGGCTAGACTCGTTAGCCCAAACATGTCAGTAAGCTGTGTAAAAACAAGAACCGAGTTCACACAGAACTAATGTACAAAAGAGTTTTCCAGAAATTTGTTTTTATCACTTTTCACCCGATGGATTAAAGGAACGTTTTTACTGAGTCCATCTTTTTCCCGACGTCCTCCAGCCGGAGGACAGGAGCGACTGAATCCTCATCCTAATCAACTCCAGACAAAGCTGCTTGAATGGACTCAAACGTGACCTGAGCCCGGTTCTGGATGTGTCTGAGGACGGAGACGTCCACCAGCAGGGACACACAAAGGTAAATCAGACCTTCTGGGTCTATTTTCCACACGAGATCTCCACAGCAACACGGTTCTGTCTCAGATAAACCAACACGACGGCAGCGAGCAGAGAGAATGATCCGTCTGCAGACCTGAACTCCAATCATATTTTATCCAATCGTAGCTGGATTAAAGGCAGAAGCTCCTCCCCTCCAGTGAGCAGAGTAATGAGATTACCTTCAGCGCAGCGGCATGATGGGACATGGTGCGGCCGACCCGCTTGTCACTGCTGTACTGCTGGATGTCAGCGATCCACTCCTCACACTGAGTCATGATCTCAGTCCTCTTCAGGTAGAAATGTTTGTGGATCACCTGCAGACACAGATCATTAGCACCCTTTTCAAAATAAAAGCATTCAGACTGATGAATCAGGAAACAGAATCCAGACAGTAACGGGTCCTACATGCTCGAGGGTCAGTGCCTTGCCCAAAGACACAACGACATGTGGCAGAGCTGCAGGTATCCAACTATCAACCCTCTAAAAATGTAGGAGAACAAAGAACCTGGAAGCTTCAGGTAATCTGGGTGTTTGCTGCCCCCCCCCCCCACCCCCCACCCACACACACCACCACCATAGCAAGAAGCTGGTTATTCTTTAGGTCATGATGACATCACACACGCCACACTCTGCTCGATGGATGATGTCAATCATCTACACACGCCTCTGCTGCCACCCCCCCCCCTCCCCGTCCACTTCCTAGCAACAGTCGCCAGGGCCAGGCCATCAGTATTCAGCGTGCGCTCTTGGGGGGGGGGGGGGGGGGGGGGAATTACAGCTGCTGTAGAGAAGGAATGGAGAAGGGGGGAGGTGCCTCAGCTTTAATCTCTCTCCTCCTTCTGCAGCTCCATCTCCCCCTCCATTAGACCATCCGTCCCCCTCACCCCCCTGCTGCTTCAGTGACACCCAGCGAAGGGGACGACTGTCCTCAGCCCTCAGCTTAGCGAGGACTTCTCAAGGTCATACGTGTGTAAAAAGACAACAAGGAGGCTGCTGGGAGGCAAGCAGACCCATGAGGAACCTCCGGATTTATGCTCCAACACGATCTGCTGGCTGAAAGCCGGCGTCTCTGGGGCTCCATGTGGAGCGGACCAGCAGCTGTTTGACTTTTAGTATTGGGACGCGGCCATCGATCACAGCGCAAAACCTCTGGTTCTGACGTGACAGCATCGTAGATGACCTTTCAGGGAAGACGTGTGTGTGTGTGTGTGTGTGGTCTGGATATCCTGTGACCTTTGAGGTAATCCACTCATCTTTCCTGAGGGTCAGCAGCTCCAATGAATCACAGCTGGGAAAATAAATAAATATTCCTGGTTTTCTGTCAGGAGTACGACAGGAATACAAATCCTGAGTTTCCTCCTGGTTTTGGATGAGACACAAACCAGCTGAATCCCACTAAATCAGCAGAGGTCTCACGCTTCACATCAGTTATGATCACAGAAACCATTCCAACTTTGCTTTTATGCTTCGGGGCGCTTCTACGGAGTCTCAGGACGGACTGAGGAAGGTTCCGAGTTCAGCTCTGATTCCACAGAAGGTTGACCTCCGAGCTTCAGATCACCAGCGGAGCTCCATGATCCAACGGGTCTAATCCAGGACTCCGGAGACTGAGCTCATGTTGGGGTTAACGAGGGACAAACGGGGAATAAAAATAAGGAAGTTAAATCTGAAACTGCAGAGATGGCTGCGCTGATCCAAACGAATCTAGCAGTGATTCCCTTCTAGGTGTTTTCCTGAGTGTCCGTGTTTGTCTCAGCAGAGGATTAAAGGTGCTAAGAGGCAGATAGCAAGAACAGCACATGGAGGCGTGCGTGCGTGCGTGTGTGTGTGTGTGTGTGTGTGTGTGATTATTCAGCCCGGTGCTGCTGCCAAGTGTGAGTACGACTCCTGAAGATCTCTCTGTTCAGCGTTCCGTTTTACTGACTCGGGCTGATGTCATGGATTCTTATTTCTTTTGCTTTAAATGGAGCACGGTGAGAGTCAGATCCAACAGAACCAGAACCAGAAGAGAAGGAATCAGCTTCACTTCTACTTTAATGCTGATTGGATCATAAAATGAAACAAATATTAATAATCAGCTGTTAAGAGTAAAAACTCCACTCAGCAGTGCTCCAACGTCAGATATAAACTCTGCTTCATCCATCAGCATGTTTTAGGTGTTTCCCTGCTTCAACACACCTGATTTTAATCAGCAGGTGATTAGCAGGCTTCTGAGGAGCTTGAGCTGCTGAACAGGTGAATCAACCACTGAATCAGGAGTGTAGGTGCAGGAAAACAACTAAAACATGCTGACACCGGCCCTCGCTGATGCAGCGTTTGGTTTTCAGGTGCTTAAGGTGCAGACGAGGGAACACAGAAACAGCACAACAGCTGAGACGTCTCTACCTCTTTGAAGCAGGGAGACGGGTTTCGAATCTGCTCCAACATGGCCCACTTGACCGTGGCCTGACGGATGTTTCCGTCATACTCCCGGGAACTCTGGGTGCCGCTGGGGGTGCCACGGGAGCGCTCGTACCCGGGCTCGTTGAAGTACGGCTCGGCCACAAGGATGAGGGACTGAACTGACACCAACACCTGAGAGAGGAGAAGCAGGAAACATTTAATTAACACAGAGATAAGCGGCACATCCTAATACAATCACTGTTTCTCCTTTGGGGAGAATTTAGATGATTATGGAATTAGCCCAAGATCCCCTCAGTGTCCTCAAAAAGTCAAACCTACAAAAGGATCTTGGCAGAGCCGCACACAAAGACCAGGAACCCTAAAAACTACATTTTTCAAACTTCCTTTATTAACGGCCTATAAATGATTTGGCCTGGCTGGATAGCTCCGCCCCGTCTGTTCCGAGCCATGACGTCACCAACTTCCTGTCAGCCGTCTCTGGCCACGACGGGGTGGGAGGAACTGAAAACGCTCCATCAGGTGAACGGCAATGACCTTCAGCTTACACCACACACTCGTCTTTAATGGGGATCCCCCTCCCCCGCTCGGTTCCAGCCTGTCCCCCGTCTCCCATTCACCAACCCACGTATTTTCCATTATTGATCCGGAGCACGCTAACTGGAATGATAATCAGTGGAGACATCTCTATGCACTCTCCAGTCCTGCAAATGAGGGAGTTGTAAAGAAAAAATCACGAGGACATCCATTCCCAGGAGCTCCGGCTCGCTTGTCCTCGGATCAATATACATACTGAAAATGAATGAGAGTGTGTATGCATGGCAGACAACCAAATGATAGTGTGGGTGTGTGTCAATACATCACGTTCAAGTAGATCTGTGAGCCTGTGCACCAATATGGACACCAAGGGGTCACACACAACTCACAGCTTCTAGATGATAGACGATCGGGCGAAATGTACCATTTTCTCACCGATGTTCATCAGTCCAACAAACGATGACGGGGGGTGGACGGGGTGGACATAAAGACCATTTTTTTCCAAGATGGTTCTGTTCCTTCAATGGTACGATGGCTCTAATGGTTAGAGATCATTTTGAATGTCTGAGTGTGACTAAAGTGTTGAAGGTCTACCGTCATGGTTGGATCACTGAGAGGCATGCATCATTGAAAACGCTGATTTGACCATTTGTGAGACAAACACAAGCAAATAAATCTTCCTTAAGGGTGTGGAACGGTGAAAAAAAAACACGTTTTAATGATCATCTCTGATTCTAACGGGTCACTCTGAGTGTTTCATGCAGGCTGAACATGAAAATAGTCTCCTACACCTAGCTCCTGCAGTAGCTTCTGATAGAAAACAGACGGTGAAACTCTAAAGGAGGAAATGCCATCAAAAGGAGCCACCTGCACCGGCAGCAGCAGCCCGGGCTCCAAGAGGAGGCTCGAGAAGCCCCCAGGCAGCCACAGCCAACCTCCTCTCCTGGGGCAGTTGGCCCCCACAGAGATTAAAGATTAAGATGTGTTCAATTATTGATTAAAAAAATCTAATTAAGCATAAACCAAGGATAAATAAAAGCAAACACACTGATAAAGTATAATCAAGTAAAAAAACATATAAAATAATATAATACGAATGAGTAATAAAGGTTAAAATGGGTTAAAATTAACTTAAAGAGCAAGTCACCCCCTACCAGAGTCTTACTCCACTCATGTTTGAAAAATGCTACAAATGCTGTTGCCTGGCAGACCGAGAGGGCGGAGTCGCTAACAAATGCACACACGCAGGCTCACAATGACATTATGACATCATAATGTACCAGCTAACATCATAGCGTACCTGAGCCTGAGATCAGAGGACTCAGTGGTCTCCTTTAAAAAGCAGCTGAAGACTCACTTGTTCAGGCTTTTGTATGATCTTCTTCACCACTCTGTTTATTCTGCTCTCCCCACCTATTCCACCTTCCTCAGGGTCCACTGATTTCCTTCTTTCCAATTCACTCTCTCTCTCTTTATATTTTTTAATCACAATTGTCTATTCTTTGCTCATTTTAAATATATTTTAACCATTTTATAAATTATTTTTTATATTTTAACATTTTTTGTTTTTGTGACGTGCCTCGTGATTTTCATCTTGAGAGGCACCAAAGAAACAATATTTTCTTCTTCTTAGCCAATAGATGTGGCAGATTTTAAATCAAATGCAGTGCAACGTTTTTACCTGACAAAGGCGCAACACTGACAGTTTAAAGCAGAATATTTGAATTTTAACTAAGATGCACTAAAGTGCCAAATTATTGAACACAAGTGTCTACAACTTGATTAGACACTCGTTTATAAAGTTTATCAGCAAAAAAAGTTGCTTTGTGGGTGACTTGCTCTTTAAATAGATATAATTTAAGTAAAAGACTAAGTAATAAAACACTGATAAAATTAACGAAGGATGGTTAAAATACAGACTAAAATAGATAAAATTAACGAAGGATGGTTAAAATACAAACTAAAATAGATAAAATTAAGCTAAAAGCTATGCTAACGTGAAGGTTCTCTGCGGCCTTGAGGTCCAGAGATGAGGGCCATAAAACTGGAAGGAAGCCTCGCCTTGAGAGCGAGTCCAGACTTTTGGGATGACAAGGAGCGTCCAGGAAACGGTACCGTTCTTGGTATCAAAATGCATCTTTAAAACTCACGGACATCATAATCCATGGCTCATAACAAGCAGAATTAGAAAATGTTGTTTTTTAGATCCGTTGACTTGCGTTCGTTTTTTTTCGTTCTTCCGGGGACCCGTGGTATGGAAGTGGATGGGCGTGACTTAGGCTCCCTATAATATGTATTAAATTGGCGTTGTGCAGGTTTCTCTTTCCCATCTGATATTTATAGTTAGATGTTTTATAAAAAAATTACCTTTTCAGTAACATTTTAGGTTTGTATTAAAGTCACTCATCGTAGTCAGAATGACATATATAAATATATACACAGTTAAACTATGATTAGTAGAATTGAATGTACTTCATTAACATGTTCAGTGATACTGGAACTGCTAATAATGTTTATTTCTACTACTACAAATGTACAGGTTAGCAATAACCTGTTTTAAATTAGGTTTGAAGATAGACACATTAGCGAGTTAAATGCTACAGTGGCTTGCCATATTTCTGCAGGAGCGTATGGAGCAGACTCAATCAGCAACCTGACGTCTGCGGTTCTGCTGCATAGCGCCGCAGACAGCTAAGAATAAGCAGGACGATGGGGACTTTATTCCCGCTTGTAGAGTTTAGATGTTCTTAGTTTCACAACCATCGTTTTTTTTTTTTTTTGGGAACCCTGTTTGATCGTGAGCCTGCTACCTGCTAGCACTAGCTAATCTGCCCAAACTTCGGACAGTCTCTCGGTTTTCCTCCACAGCTCCTGTTAGCACGCTGTGCGTCAGTAAAAAGCATCTTCCTTACAAAATAACAAGCAACTTACCTTGGATCAATAAAGTTCAGGGGAAAAAGGTCACTTGAAAAGATGGTGCACGAGTCCTAAGTTTAAAAATAGTTTATCACACAGTTTTTTTTATCGCACATGTGACATATATGTTGCACTGTACAGCCCTGGTGAGAGACCTGGAGGCTGAGACGACAGCAGCTTGTGGGGGTCTGAGAACCACCCACCCACAAACTCACCATCACCAAAGCTAAGTAATACCTTGACCCTTCAGGTCAAAGCCATTACTACGGAGCTCCAGGCTGTGGGATGACGGAGCTGATGGAGTCGAGTCCGAGACACAAACAGCAGCACGGCCGATGCATCGTGACAGCTGACTGATGTGATGCTCACCTGTAGAAAGCTGGAGGTCTGAGGGTTCCATTTTTCCTCGGGTCTTCCATGCCAGGTGTTCAGGATACTTAAACACACCTGAGGAAAACACATCCATGGCATCAATCTCAGACAAACTAAAACTTTACTGGAAGAAACCAACCACTGCTAATCCAAATGTTATGAGTCTCTACGTGTGATGGAGAGGAAGGGCGAAGGTGCTGGGGACCATTATTAGTCATTCATGTTTAGGTATTCATCCATTCATTACAAAATGCACAGCAGATAAACACACACTGACTTTAGTCCCACTTATATATAATATCAGCCCGTTGTTAGCAGAGGAGGTCTGAAACGCGTGTGTGCATGTGTGTGTGTGCGTGCGTGTGTGTGTGTGTGTGTGTGTGTGTACTATATATATTAAATTCCAGCATGTTCAATGGTGTTAAGCCTCCTTAAGAACCTCATATTTTAAATAAATCCAAATTCAGCAGGTTGAGTATTAAAATGGACGTAATTCATCTTTATCAGAACATTTGTAACTCTTGTTAAACTCCCTGAAACATCGAGCCTGACCTCACACATCCTCAGGCTCCCACGCTGGACACAATGCTCCTAACCCTGATCACACCTACTCTATGTTTCCTTAACTTTTTATCCAAGTTCTTGTCTGAACGTCTCCACAGAACCACAGAGGTTAGCAGAATCAGCACCCTACAATAAAACACCATTCTGTTCTAACAACACATGAAAAGTCCAAAGAATTCAAGCACACGTTACAGAGCTGTGATTGGTCGTTCTTGAGCCAATCAGCCGGCTGCCTCTGAAGGTTCCAGAAAGACGCCGTTCTACACAAACACACTGCTGGTTTTCTTGTACCCACCTTGCCGTCGTTGTACAGGTTGGGGTTGAAGCGCACACTGTGACCCCCTGTGGTCTCCAGATTGACCAGTGGAGGAGAGTTGGGGTAGTCTTGAGGAAAATACACATCAAACTCAAAGCAGCCGTTGGCGTAGGGAGTGTCGGCGGGGCCGGTGATGAGAACCTGTCAACATGGTGAGAGAAGCTTCAGGACAGACCGGCGATGAAGAGGTTGTTTATTACTACACACCGAGGGCCGACCGAAGAGGGGCGGACGGCTGACGACCAGGTTTTGTTCTTAGAGGGTGACAACACGTCCTGTTGTTGCTTCGCTGAGCTAAAATCAGACCCTTGTGTTAATCAGCTGAGACGTTTAGGCCCAAACAGCATCAGTCTGTGAGGATCCATCAGTAACTAGGGGGTGGTGGCACAAGAGTTAAGTGTCCACCCCATAATCTGAAGGTTGCAGGGTCGAGTCCCACACAGTCTATCGTGTCCTTGGGCAAGACACTAAACCCGCCTTGCCAGCGGGTGGCCAGAGGGTCCGGTTTACAGCAGCCTCGTCTGTCAGTGCGCTCCAGGGCAGCTGTGGCTACGATGTAGCTCATCACCACCTGTGTGTGTGTGTGTGTGTGTGTGTGTGTGTGTGTGTGTGTGTGTGTGTGTGTGTGTGTTGTAAAGCACCTTGGGGGGTTGTAGAACCCCCCAAGGTGCTCTATCAAATACAGGTCCGTTACCATTTTACCATAACTGTTTAATCACTGCAAACCTCCGAGTCCCGTCTTTCCAGGGAAGCCCGTTCCCTCGCGCCACTATCGATGTAAACCCCAGAAACATCTGGATTTCTTGGGCTCAGCACCGGGCCCTGAACAGGACGCCTCAGCTGAGTCAGAAGCAGGTTAGAAACCGTGAGGATCTATGACAGATGTTTCCAGAACAGGACTATAGCTATGAGCTAACATGTAAGCTACACATCTGGAGCACAGAGAACAAGTCTAGGTCCAGGTCCTCCCGACTCTCAGGTCGTTCCTAGTGGGATCATTCCAACACCAGCGGCGTTAATCTGACAGAGCGGACGCTGGTCTGAGGATTCAGCAGCGGAGATGAAAACCCTTCAAAGATCCAGATGTTTACACCATATCAGAACCTTTTAATTCTGCTGAGTGATTTGCTGTGTTGCTTGTTTAACTGACTGCTGCTGAATGTTTTCCTGGCAAAGTCGAGTTCAACAGACGAGGATTTTGACATTTAGCTAAAGAAAAGCGTCGTTAATCAGCTGAGAGACATTAGTTAAAATGTCAGCGGAGCCGCTGCATGGCAGAAGCATGTGACACTCAGACGCCAACGCCGCCGTTACGGACGAGTTCACGCTCCAGATCCGGAGACTGTTACCTTCATGATGTCCAGCCGCTCCTCGTCACAGCGGACAAAGACGCTGGAGGAGGATGAAAGGGGCAGAGAGGTGGACAGGGTCACGGCCTCCTGGGCCAGGCGCCGGGATCTGGCTGCACTGTTGGTGTCGCTGGCGTTCTTCACCTGAGACATGTAGTGGTAGTTGACCTTAAACATCAGCTTTCCGTCCTCGTCTTCTGAAACCATTTCAAAGGTGTCTGGATGGACAGAGACCAGAATAACTGGATTAATGTTGGAGGTTTTTCCACAGATTACACTCCCAACACCAGCCCTTCTCCTGGGATTACAGGAGTGCCCTTCAGAACTGGTAAACATGGAGTCGTGAATGCAGAAACAGTGAGCTCAAAGTGAACAGAGACGGTGTTGTGTCCGAAAGCGTTCCTTCTCCTGCGTGAGTCTGACTCGCTGGGACTCAGATTAACGCTCCAACACACATTAGGTAGTCCCAGATTACAGCTGTGGTTGTTTTATGTGGAGAAACTCTGTTTACTCTGCAAATTTGAACTGTTTTCATGAACAGATTATAATCCCGTGTGGATTAGAACCACCTAAAGAAGGATTCCTGTCCTAGATGTCACCAGGAAAGGGTCATTAAAGAGCAAGTCACCCACAAAGCAACTGTTTTTGCTGATAAACTTTATAAACGAGTGTCTAATTGTGCTGCAGACATGTGTATTCAATAATTTGGCACTTTAGTGCATCTTAGTTAAAATCTACATATTCTGCCCGAAACTGTTGTCAGGTAAAAGCTCTGCACTACATTTGAATTTAAATCTGCCACTGCTATTGGTTAAGAGGTACACATGGACGTTAGCTGGTACATTATGATGTCACACTGCTGTTGTGAGCCTGTGTGTGTGTATTTGTTAGTGGCTCCGCCCTCTCTGTCTGCTAGCCAACAGCATTTGTTGCATTTATCAAACATGAAGAGGGATTCTAGTTTTACTCCAAATTCTGCAAAATGGGTGTAGCTCCACGGCTGGTCTGACATGTGACCACTAGCTAATCCCAAACCCGACTGAAACAACCCCAATTACCATCACGTCAGTTGAGATTACTCCAGACATTCTGCTACGTACTAAATCAACCTCAGCACAGCCAGATGAGGCTAAGTAACGGCGACACGGCTGATGAGTGGAACGACGGGGGGGGGGGGGGGGGGGGGGGGGGGGGGGTTCTAGACAGGTGTCTCGTCGGTAAACCCGTCGTCTAACAATCCTTTGTAAAGAACCCTGAAGAACAGAACAGCTGGTGCAAACTCACCAAACTGGAGCTTCTTCATGGCAGCAACATATTTTTCCTCCACAGAACGAAGAACGGACAGCGGCTTCGGCCGGCTCGACGCTTTCCTCGAAGATTCAACAAGCTTCCTCTCTGGAGAAGAGAGAAAGAAAACGCATTTATAACAAGATGGCCGAGTCTGAGCGACCAGGAGACGAGAACAGGAAGATGGTTCAACAAACTCTATGTTGACTCGATCCCAGCAGGAACAAGTCAATATTTACGATTCACCAGTGGGACGGGATGTTTGGTACCGTGTCTCTAGAGAAGTTGCAGAAGCACCACATTTCCTCTGGGATCAAGAAGGCTCGCATCCTTCCTACAACCCACCCTCCATGTTTGTTTTAAACATATTAAAGTCGCCCACGAATAGCAGCTGACCTCGGCCTACAGAGGGACCTGGTGTGGGTTCTGCTGGTTCTGAGGGTTCTGTTGGTTCTGAGAGGTCTGCTGGTTCTGTGTGATCAGATTTAAATGAGTGAATCTGAAGGAAACCCCAACCTGGGATTAGGAGAACATCCAGTCTAGAAGTGAGAATCAGCCCCCCACCTTGGAGCTCCACGCTGTACAGCTCTAAACGCGGCGTGACTCCAGAGGACTTCATCGTATGGATTTTTCCACATTAAGAGACACGCCATTGACTCTCAGCTACACCCCCCATCTCACATGCACACTCCCATCACATCTAATGGCCAACGCGCCGCCTCAGCCATCCATCAGACGGCGGTTTATGTGGGCCGAGCATAAAACCCCTCAGAAGAAATAGGGACGGGGGTAATTAATACGGTGTACTCTGTAGCAACACGGTAATGTGAAGGGGTAATACTTCATCATGCTTATTGATGGTGCTGACTCTTAGAGGTGACTAATGACCAGATAGAAGAATCTTCTTTCTCTCCTCATTACAGAACAAGTTGTGACACGTCCAATTTGCCCTTTATCATTCCTCAAAGTCTGAATCCTGTGATGAATCTTAAAATGATTATTTATCTTCTTTATTTCAGAACCTCAAAAGGAAATAAATCCAAGAAATTAAGAGTGATTTATGAACCTCGGGAGCCACAGAGGAGGATAAAATATTGAAAGGATCAACCCGCTGTAGGAATGTTTCCATACCCTGGTTGGCTTGACGTAGGCTGGTGGTAGCCACGTGGACGATCACAGCAGTTCTCTGGATGTCGGGAACCAGCAGAGTCAAACCTTCAGGTTCTGGGTCAGAGCCTTCTGATTTCACCACTCCTTTACTTTTATCTTTCTTTGACCTGAAACACAAACCTCAGGTGAACCAGCTGATAGATTTACTCCAAACAAGCTGCAGATCTAATTATTCATATGTATACATATACGTACACACACACACACACACACACACACACACACACACACACACACACACACATACACACACATACACACACTATATATATATATATATATATATATATATATATATATATATATATATATTATATATATATATAAATATATATATGGTATATATTGTAAACCTCACACACAGAACATTGTGGATGTAACAAAATAAATCAAGAACCACGGCTCACGGGTGCACAAGTGAGCACATCTGGGCTGGGCAGAAGTAATTTTACAACATTGGTTTAAATAGCGCCAATAACGAGACGCGGTGACTTGAGCGGCTCATGGAGCTGTGCCACGCGCGCGCACACACTCACTCACTCACACACACACACACACACACAAATTCAATAAGCGCGCACACTGCGTAAACTCCAGCTCGCCGTCAGACTGAAGGCAGAGATGAGCGCTGCCTCCACTGTGATAAAAACTTTTAAGAGGTTTTATAACGTTTTTCATTCAAGGTCAAATTAAGATATTAGCTTCTATTTTGGGATGACGTATTAAAGTCGGGTCCGCTCCAGCCAGTGACTCCGAACCGGACCACATCTCATGTTACTGCAGCATTTGTTATTCCAGTCCGCATGGCAGCGGATCGCAGATTCAGCCACACCATAAAACAGCAATAAGTCGGTCTGAGGCAAAATATCTTTTCCATCTTTTCCCCATATAGACATTTGATTGCGCACAAGTAGGTGGCCAGTTCAGGTTTACGCAGAGCAGAAGGAAGGAGAGCGCTCTGGCCGCACAGGTTAAACGTTCCTACGTTAAGAAAACTGTTAAATTGCATTTTTATGTGCTACCTGGGCACTCTAAATATTTATTTAAAATTAAATCAAAGGAAATTGTAATGGTATCGAATGTTTATTAATTACTATTTAAAAAATGAAAGTGATGAGGAAAAAGGTTGATCATATTTTTTAACCCTGTCTGTTTAGCTTGACGTCTGATATATATATATATATATATATATATAATTATTAGAATTCTAAATGGAACTAAATGTTAGTTTAGAATTCTAAATGGAACTAAACGTTAGTTTAGAATTCTAAAATGAAAACTAAATGTAATAGAATTCTAGAATGAAAACTAACTGTAATTATTAGAATTCTAAATGTAAACTAAATGTAATTATTAGAATTCTATATGTAAACAAAATATAATTATTAGAATTCTAAATGAAAACTAAATGTTAGTTTAGAATTCTAAATGGAACTAAATGTTAGTTTAGAATTCTAAAATGAAAACTAAATGTAGATATTAGAATTCTAAATGGAACTAAATGTTAGTTTAGAATTCTAAATGGAAATAAATGTTAGTTTAGAATTCTAAAAAGAAAACTAAATGTAATTATTAGAATTCTAAAATGAAAACTAAATGTAATTATTAGAATTCTAAATGTAAACTAAATGTAATTATTAGAATTCTAAATTGAACTAAATGAAATTATTAGAATTCTAAATGTAAACTTAATGTAATTATTAGAATTCTAAATGGAAATAAATGTTAGTTTAGAATTCTAAAAAGAAAACTAAATGTAATTATTAGAATTCTAAAATGAAAACTGTAATTATTAGAATTCTAAATGTAAACTAAATGTAATTATTAGAATTCTAAATGGAACTAAATGAAATTATTAGAATTCTAAATGGAACTAAATGTTAGTTTAGAATTCTAAATTGAACTTAATGAAATTATTAGAATTCTAAATGTAAACTTAATGTAATTATTAGAATTCTAAATGAAAACTAAATGTAATTATTAGAATTCTAAAAGAAAACTAAATGTAATTATTAGAATTCTAAATGTAAACTAAATGTAATTATTAGAATTCTAAATGTAAACTAAATGTAATTATTAGAATTTTAAATGTAAACTAAATGTAATTATTAGAATTCTAAAATGAAAACTAAATGTAATTATTAGAATTCTAAATGGAACTAAATGTTAGTTTAACATTCTAAATGGAACTAAACGTTAGTTTAGAATTCTAAAATGAAAACTAAATGTAATAGAATTCTAGAATGAAAACTAACTGTAATTATTAGAATTCTAAATGTAAACTAAATGTAATTATTAGAATTCTATATGTAAACAAAATGTAATTATTAGAATTCTAAATGAAAACTAAATGTTAGTTTAGAATTCTAAATGGAACTAAATGTTAGTTTAGAATTCTAAAATGAAAACTAAATGTAGATATTAGAATTCTAAATGGAACTAAATGTTAGTTTAGAATTCTAAATGGAAATAAATGTTAGTTTAGAATTCTAAAAAGAAAACTAAATGTAATTATTAGAATTCTAAATGAAAACTACAGGTGCTGGCCAGTAAATTAGAATATCATCAAAAGGTTGAAGATATTTCAGTAATTCCATTCAAAATGTGAAACTTGTACATTATATTCATGCAATGCACACAGACCAATGTATTTCCAATGTTTATTACGTTTAATTTTGATATTTATAGGTGACAACCAATGAAAACATCAAATCTGGTATCTCAGAAAATTAGAATATTCTAAAGGCCAATGAAAAAATGTTTGTTTCTCTAATGTTGGCCAACTGAAAAGAATGAACATGAAAAGAATGTGCATGTATAGCACTCAATACTTAGTCGGGGCTCCTTTTGCCTCAATAACTGCAGTAATGCGGCGTGGCATGGACTCGATCAGTCTGTGGCACTGCTCAGGTGTTATGAGAGCCCAGGTTGCTCTGATAGTCGTCTTCAGCTCCTCTGCATTGTTGGGTCTAGCGTATTGCATCCTCCGCTTCACAATACCCCATAGATTTTCTATGGGGTTAAGGTCAGGTGAGTTTGCTGGCCAATCAAGGACAGGGATACCATGGTCCTTGAACCAGGTGCTGGTGGTTTTGGCACTGTGTGCAGGTGCCAAGTCCTGTTGAAAGGTGAAGTCTGCATCCCCATAAAGTTGGTCAGCAGCAGGAAGCATGAAGTGCTCTAAAACTTCCTGGTAGACGGCTGCATTGACCCTGGACCTCAGGAAACAGAGTGGGCCAACACCGGCAGATGACATGGCACCCCACACCATCACTGACGGTGGAAACTTTACACTGGACCTCATGCAACGTGGATTCTGTGCTTCTCCGCTCTTCCTCCAGACTCTGGGTCCTTGATTTCCAAAGGAAATGCAGAACTTGCTTTCATCAGAAAACATAACTTTGGACCACTCAGCATCAGTCCAGTCCTTTTTGTCCTTGGCCCAGGCGAGACGCTTCTTGCGCTGTTTCTTGTTCAAGAGTGGCTTGACACACGGAATGCGACACCTGAATCCCATGTCTTTCATGAGTCTCCTCGTGGTGGTTCTTGAAGCGCTGACTCCAGCTGCAGTCCACTCTTTGTGGATCTCCCCCACATTTTTGAATGGGTTTGTCGTCACAATTCTCTGCAGGGTGCGGTTATCCCTAGAGCTTGTACACTTTTTTCTACCACATTTTTTCCGTGCCTTCGCCTGTTTGTTAATGTGCTTGGACACAGAGCTCTGCGAACAGCCAGCTTCTTTAGCAATCACCTTTTGTGTCTTGCCCTCCTTGTGCAAGGTGTCAATGATTGTCTTTTGGACAGCTGTTAAGTCAGAAGTCTTCCCCATGATTGTGGTGCCTTCAAAACAAGACTGAGGGACCTTTTAAAGGCCTTTGCAGGTGTTTTGAGTAAATCAGCTGATTAGAGTGGCAGCAGGTGTCTTCTATATTCAGCCTTTTCAGAATATTCTAATTTTTTGAGATACCAAATTTGGAGTTTTCATTAGTTGTCACTTATGAATATCAAATTTAAATGTAATGAACATTGGAAATACATTGGTCTGTGTGCATTGCATGAATATAATGTACAAGTTTCACGTTTTGAATGGAATTACTGAAATATCTTCAACCTTTTGATGATATTCTAATTTACTGGCCAGCACCTGTAAATGTAATTATTAGAATTCTAAAAGAAAACTAAATGTAATTATTAGAATTCTAAATGTAAACTAAATGTAATTATTAGAATTCTAAATGTAAACTCAATGTAATTATTAGAATTTTAAATGTAAACTAAATGTAATTATTAGAATTCTAAAATGAAAACTAAATGTAATTATTAGAATTCTAAATGGAACTAAATGTTAGTTTAACATTCTAAATGGAACTAAACGTTAGTTTAGAATTCTAAAATGAAAACTAAATGTAATAGAATTCTAGAATGAAAACTAACTGTAATTATTAGAATTCTAAATGTAAACTAAATGTAATTATTAGAATTCTATATGTAAACAAAATGTAATTATTAGAATTCTAAATGAAAACTAAATGTTAGTTTAGAATTCTAAATGGAACTAAATGTTAGTTTAGAATTCTAAAATGAAAACTAAATGTAGATATTAGAATTCTAAATGGAACTAAATGTTAGTTTAGAATTCTAAATGGAAATAAATGTTAGTTTAGAATTCTAAAAAGAAAACTAAATGTAATTATTAGAATTCTAAAATGAAAACTAAATGTAATTATTAGAATTCTAAATGTAAACTAAATGTAATTATTAGAATTCTAAATTGAACTAAATGAAATTATTAGAATTCTAAATGTAAACTTAATGTAATTATTAGAATTCTAAATGGAAATAAATGTTAGTTTAGAATTCTAAAAAGAAAACTAAATGTAATTATTAGAATTCTAAAATGAAAACTGTAATTATTAGAATTCTAAATGTAAACTAAATGTAATTATTAGAATTCTAAATGGAACTAAATGAAATTATTAGAATTCTAAATGGAACTAAATGTTAGTTTAGAATTCTAAATGGAACTTAATGAAATTATTAGAATTCTAAATGAAAACTTAATGTAATTATTAGAATTCTAAATGAAAACTAAATGTAATTATTAGAATTCTAAATGTAAACTAAATGTAATTATTAGAATTCTAAATGTAAACTAAATGTAATTATTAGAATTCTAAATGTAAACTAAATGTAATTATTAGAATTTTAAATGTAAACTAAGTGTAATTATTAGAATTCTAAAATGAAAACTAAATGTAATTATTAGAATTCTAAATGGAACTAAATGTTAGTTTAACATTCTAAATGGAACTAAACGTTAGTTTAGAATTCTAAAATGAAAACTAACTGTAATTATTAGAATTCTAAAATGTAAACTAAATGTAATTATTAGAATTCTAAAATGAAAACTAAATGTAATTATTAGAATTCTAAAATGAAAACTAAATGTAATTATTAGAATTCTAAATGGAAATAAATGTTAGTTTAGAATTCTAAAAAGAAAACTAACTGTAATTATTAGAATTCTAAAATGTAAACTAACTGTAATTATTAGAATTCTAAAATGTAAACTAACTGTAATTATTAGAATTCTAAATGTAAACTAAATGTAATTATTAGAATTCTAAATGGAACTAAATGTTAGTTTAACATTCTAAAATGAAAGCTAAATGTAATTATTAGAATTCTAAATGGAACTAAATGTAATTATTAGAATTCTAAATGTAAACTAAATGTAATTATTAGAATTCTAAATGTAAACTAAATGTAATTATTAGAATTCTAAATGTCAACTAAATGTAATTATTAGAATTCTAAATGTAAACTAAATGTAATTATTAGAATTCTAAATGTAAACTAAATGTAATTATTAGAATTCTAAATGTAAACTAAATGTAATTATTAGAATTCTAAATGTAAACTAAATGTAATTATTAGAATTCTAAATGTAACTAAATGTTAGTTTAGAATTCTAAATGTAAAACTAAATGTAATTTTTAGAATTATAAATGTAAACTAAATGTAATTATTAGAATTCTAAATGGAACTAAATGTTAGTTTAGAATTCTAAATTGAAAACTAAATGTAATTATTAGAATTCTAAAATGAAAACTAACTGTAATTATTAGAATTCTAAAACGAAAACTAAATGTAATTATTAGAATTCCAAATGTAAACTAAATGTAATTATTAGAATTTTAAATGGAACTAAATGTTAGTTTAGAATTCTAAATGGAACTAAATGTTAGTTTAACATTCTAAAATGAAAACTAAATGTAATTATTAGAATTCTAAAATGAAAACTAAATGTAATTATTAGAATTCTAAAATGAAAACTAAATGTAATTATTAGAATTCTAAATGTAAACTAAATGTAATTATTAGAATTCTAAATGTAAACTAAATGTAATTTTTAGAATTCTAAATGTAAACTAAATGTAATTTTTAGAATTCTAAATGGAACTAAATATTAGTTTAGAATTCTAAATGGAACTAAATATTAGTTTAGAATTCTAAAATGAAAAATAAATGTAATTGTTAGAATTCTAAATGGAACAAAATTTTAGTTTAGAATTCTAAAATGTGAACTAAACGTAATTATTAGAATTCTAAATGGAACTATATATATATATAAATATATATATATATATACGTATATATATACACGTATATATATATACATATACATACATATATATATATATACATACATATATATATACATATACATACATATATATATATATATATATATATATATATACATATACATATATATATATATATATATATATATATATATATATATATATATATATGTATATAGCCATGCCCTGATGTGGGGGCTGGGGGGTGCGTCGACATGGTAGGGACACAGAAGGGGGTACGCGGCTAAATAAGTTTGGGAACCACTGCTCTAGGAAATTGGAGAGAACATGGCGCTCTACGCACCAGGAGTCCTACCAATCCTGGAAAAATAGTCTTGTGCTTTATAAAAATAAGCTTCGACAAACTAGAACTGCTTATTTCTCAGCATTAATTGAGGAGAATAAGAATAATCCTAAATTTCTTTTCAGTACAGTTGCTAAACTTACACAGAATCATAGCTCTGAGCCCTCTATTCCCTTAGCCCTCAGCAGCAACGACTTCATGGGATTTTTTACAAGTAAAATAAATTCTATTAGAAACAAAATCATTAGCATCCTCCCTAATGCGATTTCTTCTTCCTCAGTGAGGCAGCATCTGAGGTGACTGTAGAACCTCATCTGTGTTTGAACCGTATTGATCCAGTTGAGCTTTCAGAGTTATCAAAAATATTAGCTTCATCTAAACCTTCAACTTGCATTTTAGATCCAATACCACCAAATGACGCTCGGCTTTAAGAGGTTGGATTGGGGGGTTAAACCACCAGATAGTTCCTGAGCGCAGCCACTGCTGCAGCTCGCTGCTGCCCACGGGAATGGGTCGGATGGGGAGGTCAAATTTCACCCCACACCAGTGTGCGAGACAACTCTGGGATTCATTTCATTAATACAAGCTTCCTTAGAAGTAAACCGTTCATGGAGAGCCAAAAGTGATTAGAATAAAATAATTAAAAAATGTCACTAATTTAAATCTTTGCTTTTTCTATAAATTCCTGTGGACATAGAATAATAAAGGTTAGCACATTGTCACAGTCATGAATGCAGCCAAATACTCTATTGAGCATTGACGCATCTTACTTTTTTTTTAAGTCCATTGCTCACTTCAAACATCACAAACATGCTTTCTGACAGATGAAACGCAGATCGCATCTACGTGATACGAGAGGTAAACCAGGCATTTCTGCTCTCTAAACAAAAGCTGCGTGGCTTAACCGTTGCTTACCTCATTGGCAGATTTTTTTTACTCAAAACAAAAAGTTTAGCTCACATTTGAGAACATTTTCCTTATTTTAGGTCAAGTTGTTTTTCAAGAAAAGATTTTTCTTTTTAGACTAAAAAGATAAAATGTCTAAAAATGAGACTTATTTTATTAGAAATCAGTTTTTGCAGTTTATTGAATGGTGGCACATTTGGCCTTTCATACCAGTTGTTCAGATATTAATTTAAAGTGTTAAGTCATTTAAATGGTGACAAAGTAGCTAGCGTCTTACCTGAGACGGTTTGTGTATGTGTCCACACACGTCTTCATCTTGGCCAACAGCATCCCTACTGAGGTCTGTCCCTCCGACTGCTCCTCGTCCTCCTCTTCCTCCTCCTGGGCGGGGTCCGCAGACAGAGGCAGCAGCAGCGGGACCAGAGCTGTGTAGGTGGAAATGGCCCTCAGCAGCTCCAGTAGAGCTCGGTACAACGGGACATGGCGCGCCATGTCTAGCACTGTGGGGATAATTAGAGACATTTGCTCAGCAGTCCAACATGGGACGTCTCATACAGCAACAGAGGACAGGCCGTCGGGGACACAAGGAGGGACTGAGCAGGAAAAGACTGCTGACAACTTCATTAGAAGCACATCGAGACACAAAACTTAAGATGTTTGCTCCGGAACGAGGTGAAAGGTGCTAGCTTAAAATAAACCTTTAGCATTTGTAGTTTTTTCATCTTCTCCGTGCTTTTTAATTCTTCTGCCTCCAGAAACAAAGAAGCGTCTGATATTCTGAGTCTAGTCAGACGTTTACGACTTGAAAACATCTGAAGAGTGTTTAACGTTAAAGACGGCCTAAGATGTTTAACGTTAGCACATCTGATTTTCTGCCTCAACTTTACAGGATTTCATACGATGTCAGTAATCATCATTAATATTAGAATCTAATTTAACTCGGGATCAGGAACACCTTCTCTCTGGAAAGGCAGGTAAACATCACAGGTGCGTGCACACAAGTTATGTCTTCAGTCCTAAGCTCATCCCTCGTCTCCACAATCGCTCCTGACTTCAGCTCATGGAAAGCTGAACTGGGATGAGAAAACTGGGAAATTCCCTCTCAGCTACACCAGTTTTTGCTTTTGTTCACAACCAAAATCATCAGCAAGAAAAAAAAAAGCTTCAATTCAAGACCAAATGAATCAGAAGACCAACCTTCAGAGTAAATAAAACAGAAAAAGCTAAGAGAGCTTCTCTGGGCTTCCGAAAAAAAAAAAAACGGAACTCCAAACAGACTTGTATGAAAACAAAAACACTCCATTATAAACCGGAAGAGCTGATACCAGTGGGGATTTATGACACATGAGCAGATTTAGGAGGAATATTCTACAGCTGGAAAGCAACGGTATAAATAATAATTATCATGCTGGACACGTCTTCTAACAGAGGAGAATGCTCAGACGAACTTATGCAACTATGGGCTCACCTAACCCTAACCCAGAGAAGCTCCTGTTTGTGGCTTCAGACTGCTTGACATTTATATTGGAACACCCCCCACCCCCCGAATCCTCTGGATGGCGCCTAGCATGCAGTCCCGTCCCTCCAGATGTATCGAAGTCATTGCTCCTCAAAATTCCTGCACTGCTGGTTGGAACGCCACCTGTGCTGCTGAACCGGATCAGAGCCGTTCCCTGAACTATCAAACTGATCTGCTTGGAAGCTAAAAGTCTGGATGGAAGGAAACAAAAAGATGTCGGACAACGTGGACCTGTTGCTGATCTTTTAGCAGAGGAAATGCTCCACCTGATGAATATCCACATTTACGCTCATCTCCAGCAGGAATGTCAATCATTTTGGACTTTTAATGATTGGTTTAAAGATTTCGCTTCAGTCGGTTTCCTGAACAGACTCTGTTTTTGGTCGGTACATTTTTATTTTGGGTTTAGATCAGAGCTTTAATGTTCCTGTGATCCCATTTCATCCCCTCAGAAAGCAGTTTGGATGTGTTTGGTGTTCCTGGGTCCACGTTTCAACCATCTAGCTGATGTTTTCAGGTCAAGCAGAAGAATTTGGAGCTGGTCCTCCATGGGCTTTGTGGACCAGAGTCATTCACCCCAACCTCAGTAAAATAGACACTAAATTCACTCGTCCTAACAGCTGTTTGGAAATGGCCCCAAAGATTTCCCCAACCTCAAATCTAAAACTCCCTAGATCCTCGAGTCCATGGAACATCTCTGAAGTTCAGAGTATCAGTCTATCTATAAGATCTCTCAAACTAATCCTATTAGAGATGCAAAGGGAAACGACCGCTCAATCACGATCACCAACGAGGAACTAATAAGCCTTGGCCTCGTCAAGTGAAGAGACTTTCTGGAACCTCAGCTCCACTTTAGATGGATCTCTGTAGATTTGGAGCCTGCATGGAAATCCATTTTTTATTTTGTACTTTGAGAACTTCTCAGCCGACTGTGAGCATTTAAATAGTTCTGACTTATAAATAGAACCGATAATAAACCACAGAAATATGCTGCACTGCTATCAAATGTCAAGCAGAGGAATTCTAATTAACCCCCAAACCCATCTGTCCACTAATGACCCCCTGCCTCATTTGTCATCAGATTTACTGCCTATTCTGCCCCACGGTCCACTGAAGAGACGAGAAGACTCTCGTAATTACAGGTGACAGATGGACAGACAGTTGGCAGGGAAATGCACACCTCAGAGATACAAAGGACTAAAAATGTCCCCACAGCAGGACAACAGGAAGACATGAGCCCGGGCTATCAAGATAAGCACACATCATAATGAAATGCTTTCCACAGAGCCACCTAAACCGCATTAAGTCATTTCAGATGGAACATTGGGACAAAAGCCTGTTTTAATAAGGAAAATAAAATGATGTTAAAGTGCACAAAGGACACAACTTATAAACAAACTTTAAATTGGACAAATAACACAAACCTGAAAGTTTGAATCTTTTTGCTAAGGTTAATAAAAAACATTTGTCTGCTTTCTGTTAGTGTTTGGTTTCAGGAATTATTTGTTTACGATGAGCTGCTTTAAATGTGCCCAATTGTGACATCACAATCAGGAACATCCCCCCAATGCCAATCAGGGGATGGGTGGGCTGAAACGACTCATTCAGGAAGGTACTGAAACAGTCTGAATAAAACCACTGAGACTGCTTCATGTGAGAAGGATTTAGTGCAAAAAGCTTCACAAACATGTTTACTGACCACCGTAGGACTATTTAAACTATTTTAAACGGAACTTTAAGTGTCCTTTAAAGACTGAAATATATTTAGACAATCTAGCTTTTAAAATTAAGCTACTTATTTTTCAATATTAGTATAACGAAATAATACTTATTTTATTATGTAATTCTATTATAATCCAACAGAGAGAAAGAAATCAAACAGGTCCTCACCAGCTGTGGACCCTCCACCAGGAGGCAGCAGACATGTACAGGACCGGATGTGCAGGTTTCTGAGGAACGTACTAATCTTGATGTTCCATCTGGAGGCTTTCCATCAGTGTTTGTAGCAAAATTATCTCATTTTAATTTTGCCGGACGTCAAACTGACGTAACTTAGTGAAGGCATAACATTCCTGTTTATTTAAAATAAAGTATAACTAAAGTCCGTTGAAAGTGCAGATTTTCTTCGCCCCAGCACATATAACAGTGATTAGATGAATAAAGGAGGACCAGTCTGAACGGTTGGTTTGTAAATCTACAGGTCTGATTTTCATGTTGTGGCCGTTATTCTGAGCCTCATAGAGGATTGTTCTCATCCGTGTAAAAACAAACTCAGTTTTTATAGTTTAAAAATAAATCCTCCCACACACCGGTTTAATAAGCTCACAGAGACAAACAGGACCGGTCAGTGGAAGCCGTAAACCCACACGCTTCACACACCAGTGTGTTTACTGTAGGTGTCAGCAAACACGGAGTCAGATAACATTACACACTGAACCTCTGTGTGTGTGTGTGTGTGCGTGCGTGTGTCGTACCAAGTGGGTGGCTAGTACTGTGACTCAAGCTCATGGCTGGACAGTGTCAGGTCTTCTGACCCCTCCAGGGCAGAGAGACCGAGGAGAGGAGCTGCACTAGTCGGACTGTGACATGTCTCTGCCAACACACCGTCTGCCTGAGTGGACGCTGTAGACAATGTGCATCAGGGCGGGAGTGTGTGGAACAGCTGCAGAAAAAGCAGCCTGGAGCTCTTTGGTCATTTTAAAACACAAAGAACTGCAGCTTCATCTGTGTGAGTGAAAATAGATTTACAGAAAAAAGTTACGTCCTCGTTTTACACTGAAAGTCAGTAAAGACCAAGGAACCAGCAGGAAAAAGGCTTCAGAATTTTGGGCTGTTTATCTGGAGAAAGAGACTTCAGATTTTTATAGTTCAACATTTTTTCAGTTTATCACAAACAATGAGATCTGCATTTTATTCATCCCATTCATTTTTAACATTCTTTGAATCCTATATTTTATCCAGCATTCATTCTCCCATCCATCCAACTCACCCTGTACAGGTTCAAGGGGAACGGATGTTCTACACTTAAATATTTAATATTATTGAAATATTGTTATATATTAAGGGGGAAGAGGAAGACGATGGAGTAGGACGCGAGTCTGGGAGCTCCTGCCGACTTCGATTAAATTGATATTCCTTTGCGCTTTTTTGACCATATTTCTTGTCCTAATTCTGATTTTTGAATTATTTTGTTGGGACGTTTTAATCGGCTCGGCATAAAATGGCAGCAAAAAATGTAAAAACCCGCAATGCTACTCAAACACAACTGAAGCTTGGTTTGCAAACCGCGGCCACACCCTCGAGTGAGCCGCCGTCTCCGGCAAAGTTTCCCTTGGGCCAAGCTAATCCTGATATCGAGGCTCTCAAGGTCGAGTTGCTTGCTTCGTTGAGGAATGACATTGCTGACATTTTTAAAAAAGAACTTCAGGACACTCTGGGTGATGCTTTGTCCACCATTAAGTTCGACCTGCAGGCTGTGAAGACGCAGCTGGCGATCGATAAAGCTGCCAATGACTCTACCATGTCCGAGCTAAAAGGTACGGTCAAGGAGATGGAGCATGCACTGACTGTTTGTTCTGATGATGTTGCTGAGATGAAAACTACTATCAAGAGCCTCACTGCTCATGTAGCCAAGCTGGAAAACAAGTGTGAAGACTTGGAGTCCAGGTCGCGGCGCAACAATGTTAGGATATTAGGAGTATCAGAGGGCCCTGACACGTCCACCACTGCTGCCGTAGCCTCCTTGCTAAAAGAAGCATTCGACCTGGGGAAGGAGCCGCTTTTGGATCGTTCACACAGGACCCTCCAGCCTGCACCTAAACCTGGCGACCGACCACGAGCTATTATATGCAGGTTTCATTACCACACTGATTGTGTTGACATTTTACGACGTGCTAGAGAACGCCGACAGATTAAAGTTGGAGACCGAACCATCTCAATCTTCCCCGACTACACCGTCAAGGTGGCACGGGCTCGTGCTGC